CCTCCCTTGGTGTTCACACCTCAACTGCTAGCAGAGCACCTCACCCTCCCTGATTGAACTAACCTCGTTATCTCCATACTGATTTATACCTGCCTCTGGAAATTTCCATTACTTGTATCTGAAGAAGTGAGGTTCTTACCCACGAAAGCTTATGCTCCCAATACTTCTGTTAGTCTTAAAGGTGCCACAGGACCCTCTGTTACTCCTCCCTCCTAATGCATCATAAAGTCAATAAAGGAAGTCTGTGGGAAATGAGATCCAGACCTGGGAAATGGAAAATCCCTAAATACAAGGAAACTTGAAATTCTCACCATCACTAAATATCAGCATATATTCTTCTGACTGGACTAGGGGTAGGGCTGGCAGGACACAGTCCCACATTGCACCTATATAGGGAGCCATTACTGGAAGAGAGGAAAGGAAAACACAATCACCTTTGTTTCCAGATGGAATGTTCTTTTTTGTCCTGTGGGATTCATCTTCAGTACAGGATGAAGGGAGATTTGCTTAAGGGAATTGTATCTGCCTGTCCAGCCCACCACAGAGCAATGGAGTGTATGTTTCATATCACATACATAAAAGGGATACACAACTCTATGCATTTTTGATAGATGTAGCTCAAGATCCTGCTGCAAGCAGTTGTTACTTGTGGGCAGTTCCAAGTGGGCTGATACCTTGATAAACAGCTTCTCCAGCAAGTAGTTTTTATAAAAAGCCAAATGTCAGGAACACTATACCATGAAGGGCTCTCCCCTCATTATCCACTAACATATAGAGGACAAAGGTTGGCTATGGACTATAGATCTTCCATCCGTGGCCTGGAAATATACCCAGATCGCCTCTCAGAAAGGAACTCTTATGGAATGCAATATTTTCACAGGAAAATGATGTTTGCAAGAATTTAAAAAACAAATCTGTAGTGGAAATGTGTATAGGTGAGGGAGAGCAGAAGGAGGGTCTCCAGTTGTGCAGGTCCAGGATATATTGTGGGTCCTTATATATGTAGGTATCTATACCTACATCTTCACCGGGATAGCTTTCCACCTCTTTCTGCACTCCCCAGCAGTAGCCAATGGATCCCTCTGCCTCCCACTCCTTCAAAAGCTCCTTTCCTGGCTCCAGAAGCAGATCCTTCCCCTCAAGCCTCCCAAGACCCCAACCTTCCTAGCTGTCAGTGGCTTCTGCAAGAAGCCAAGATTAATCATTGGATGATATGGTCTCTGCCAAACTGGTGTTCCTGCTGCAACCAAAAGCGTGAGCTAAACCAAATGAAAGTGTAAAAACACAAGGGTACAGCACTTACCTTGCGCCTTGGGCCAGATTGTACCTTTAAGGCATATGCCTATGGTGGAGGCAGTGTGAAGCTGCACTGCCCCCAAAGGAGCTTGAGGAGGGAGCATATAGAGTGCACTGTCCCTTTGGATGGTGCAGCCTACTCAGCTCTGCAGTCCACAACCCCAATTTTCCATTGAAAGCCAGGTTAGGTGGAAAATTTTTGACCAGCCACAGCATAGCAGTCACTATAGGAAGGGTACATAGGAAAAGCCCAGGTAACTCAGACCTGTTTAGTGGGGCCACACAGGTGAACACTTCTAACAAGAAACTCAGACAACAGGAAGTTCAGAAAGATGGTACCACTGAGTTGACAGAGCTTCTCCATTGCACAAAGGATACTGCGGTGGGGCAGGACTTTTGGCTGGAATCTCTCCTGCAGCGTGGCCACGACATCTCCTGGACAGTGCTTCCCAACCGCCACTAGGATGGCAATGGCAGCCTCCTCAAATTCCTCCTTCAGCTCCTTGATCAGCACAGAGAAATTCTTGCCTCATTAGCTGTACTCAGAATTACACGTGAAAGACTTTTCTCTGTGGAAGCATTACTATCAGAAAAGAGTCCAAGAGACAGGTAAGGGACTGAACAGCTTCAGCTGAGATCTGGAAACCATGTCCCCTTCTCCCCCCCCCATGTTTGGAGAAGGAGAAGAGCGGGGGAAATAACGCAATCCGATTAGGGAATTAGAAAAGTGATCAACCTCATTAACTTAGGGTGTATCCTATCTTAGTCATTACAGTTCTGTGGTCTGACAGCTACCGCATCATGGATCTAATTAATCTTTGGGATCCTATTTTCCAGCTTCAGGACATTGGTAACTCCCACTGAAATCAATGGGAATTACTCCGCTCCCATGGCAAAGGAACAGGACCCCGGGCATAACTCCACTCACTTCAATAGACTTACATCAGGGATGAATTAGGGTCCTGTCCTCTAAACGGGCAGAATGCTAATGAGGAAATACGTTTAAATGCCTTGTTAGACAATGGTAACAGGCGATTCCAGGACAGGCATTGCTTTCCTACAAATATCCATGATAAAATTATAAAACAGCATTAAATTTGGGTTCCTGAAGGATCGCAAAGCACTTTGCATATAACATGTTATATAATCTCTAAAGGATCATGCAGCCACATTTGTGTCTGATCATGGCAGTAGTTCTATACCAACAAGCTCTTTGGGACAGGGACTGTGTTGTTGTTCTGTGTTTATGCAATGCCAAGCACAGTAGGGTCCTGGTCCTTTACTAGGTCTCCTCAGCACTATTATAATACAAATAATAAATAACATTAAGTGACATTTGAAGAAAAATGCATCTAACAGGAGGATTTTCACATATAGTAAATAGAATAATGACTAGCTCTAGAATATAATTTTGCCAAAAGTGCCACAGAGTCTGTTATAGATCACTTCAGTTACTGAATAAACCTGAATATGTTTACTTAACTCATGAGAGCTGACAAAATCTCAGCTCAGGTTATCATATGGGCTTCAGAAGCATGTCACGTGACATGCCCAGGACACCAATAACCATCCTTTATTGTTCATGGCACTATTACC